GGTCCCCCCTCCCCCGGGGAATGGGGAGGCCGGGCACCCTGCCCGTCCTCACTGCCTGCTGCCTTCCACAGGGCCGAGCCCGCCCTCTCGCGGATCCAGGAGGACGCCGGCGATCGTGCTGCCGGCCATTGACAACATCAAGTACAGCACGTTTGAGGTGCAGCAGTACGCCAATGCGGCCATGGCTACACCTGGGCCTCTGGTGCATGTACATCATCCCGCCGAGACTGGCTGGACCGCGGGGACGAGTCGGCCCCATAAGGTGCGGGGAGGGGTGGGGCATGGAGGTGGGGGCAGCCACGCGTGGCTGGGCAGGGGCAGGTGGCTGCTCCTGCAGAAAGGAGGCCTGGAGGATCGGAGGTCAGTGTCAGCAGAGCAGAGGCCCAGGGCTGCCCAGGTGCGCAAATCTCACAGGAGGATCGTAGGCAGGTGGGCAGGATTGTGGGCAGGTGGGCGGGCTAACCGGATCTGTGACCAGACTGGGGGGCGGGAGGGACAGGTAAACAGCACAGCCCCACCGTGAGCAGTGAGACGACGAAGGTGGCACTCAGGACAGAGACTCACAGTCCTCCAGTCCGACCCCCTCGGGAGTCCCGCCAAGCATGTATTTTCATTTTGAATTCGTTCATTAAACACAGAAAAGGAGAGATTTTTAACATTTCAGAAGCACGCAGTGCTGGCACCTCTTGAAACCCGGGAGCCCGTGCAACACGAGGCCCCCCAGGCTGGAGCTGTGAAGCACCGCGTCCCAGCAGGTGTCGTCCCAGCAGGTGTAGTCTGAGCAGTCATCCCCCGCTTGGCGCAGTTCCCGCCACTCTGTTGTCTCCCTGGCACTGACTGTCACGTGCAGGGTCAGTTCTCTCTCACCTGGCTCACTTTATCCACTGCCCCCACCCATGACTTCTGTCACATGTGGGATCAGGGTAACAGGTGAGATCTGGTCAGACATGACTTCCATGACATAGAGTATCAGAGTCACGGGCGACGTCCTGTCAGGTATGACTTCCCTCACATGCAGGATCAGAGTAACAGAAATGATCCTCTCAGACGTGACTTCCCTCATATAGAGGTTCAGAGTAACAGGCAGGATCCTGTCAGACATCACTTCCTTCACATGGAGTATCAGAGTCACAGGAGATATTTTGTCAGACATGACTTTCCTCACATGTAGGATCAGTGTAACAGGTGAGATCCTGTCAGACATGACTTCCCTCACATGCAGGATCAGAATAACAGACGGGATCCTGTCAGACATCACTTCCCTCACATGAAGTATCCAAGTCACAGGTGTGATACCTGTCAGACATCACTTTCCTCATATTGGAGGTTCAGAATCACAGGTGAGGTTCCTTCCAGGCATCGCTTCCCTCACTGGAAGGTTGCAGGTAACAGGCCCAATCACTCATCTCGCCTTGCAGTGGACCATCTGTTCTCAGTCTCTTGAATGAACTAGAGGCCAATTCCCACTGAGTAATGACCTTTTACAGCCACAGATTGTCCCGTTCATCTCCCTCTCATCTTCCATGAGAGGCCAGTGGTCATTTATCAGATTGTCTTCCTATCAGTAAAGGGAAATCAACTTTTCATAGATTGTGGACGCTGATTTCTGGAGGCCTGAGTCTCTCTGTGGGCTGCCAGGCAGAGCAGGGGCAGCTTCCGGCGTCAGGTGCTCGACAGGGTTTGGCTCAGGTCCCCACGACCGTCGGTCTGGCTGGTCCCTGGGGTGACCTCTACACTCCAGGTGTAGTTTGGGAACACACGATTGGGACAGAACATTGGAAGATGACATGCTGTAGCTGGTGGCATCACCAGCAGGTCACGTTTGGGGACGTGGAAGAAGAAAAGTGGTTGGGCGGGGCAGGCAGGTGAGGCCCAGCGGGGAGCTGAGAAGGGAGCTGAGGGTGTGTGTGGGGGGTGTGTCGGACCTGGGGGTCTGAGAAAGGCTGAACCCCTCGACGGAGCCCCAGCAGGGTGGTGAGGGAGCACTGTCTCCAGGAGTCAACAATGGGCTTAGCAGGAGGAACAGCTCAGGCTCACCTGAGAGGGCCCCACCTTGGGCTGGGAAGGGTCTTCCCCAGCCACGTCCCCCGAGATGGTGGATCCTTCTGCATGGTCATAGGTGCCCGGCTCCCATGTTCCGGGACTCAGGGGACAGAGTGTTCCCCGAGGCATAGGGCACAGGGCAGTGCACGGCCGTGCAAACGCTGCACTCTGAGTGCCGCAGGTCCACTTATGGGCCGTGGGCACGCTGCCCTTCTCGGGAAGGACACAGCTCGTGCGTCTGAATCCGGGCTGGAAAATGATGTGGAGCCGGAGAGGCTGATGTTCGAAATTTACTTTGGGAAATGTCCCCTGCAGAGCCATCCGGTGCGGGGGAGGGGCTGGGGAGACGCTGCCCTGCCCCCGCGCCCGCCCCCCACCCCCCGGCAGCCAGGCCCAGCATCCACCCCACAGCCCCCAGTGGCCCTGGCGGCCGGCTCTTCGGGACAGGCTGCACGGCCTCCGCAGCAGAACAGCCCGGAGGTGAGGGTCGTCCCCGGAATGACCGGTCCCCCCTCCAGAATGTGGCATCAGTAGGCCCGCGCTGCTTTCTGTAATCACAGCGAGGATTTCTCACGCGGATAAATTCCGTGTCAGCCAATTCTGCCCTCTCGTGTCCTGCGATTTTGCATTTGTTTGGGAACCCTGAGCGGTCATAAAAAAATCATTACCCGCCATGACAAGCTCGGTGGGGAGCTTGGCACTTCGATCCGGAGATCAGCCTGAGATTATTGCTGTTGCTAAGAAAACGAGAGAAATACCTGTCGTGTGTCCATGAACTGCAACTTAACCGATCAAATGTTGCTGTTAAAAATCAGAGTCGGTGTAAAAATTTCATTACTGTTAGGTTAGTGGCCAAAGTCTTAATGACAGAACAAATTGGATCTTTGCACAGATAAAAAGATAATCACCTTTTAATGTCCCTGTGGTTCTTGGGCCACTGATGGGTGTTTACTTCTGGCTTCAGGGCAGTCATTGGGGCAGAATGGCTTCTTTTAAATTATGACTGGCCGGGCGCGGTGGCTCACACCTGTAATCCCAGCACTCTGGGAGGCTGAGGAGGGAGCATTGCTCGAGGTCAGGAGTTCAAAACCAGCCTGAGCAAGAGCAAGACTCCATCTCTACTAAAAATAGAAAGAAATTAGCTGAACAACTAAAAATATATAGAATAAATTAGCCGGACATGGTGGGGCATGCCTGTAGTCCTAGCTACTTGGGAGGCTAAGGCAGGCGGATCATTTGAGCCCAGGAGTTTGAGGTTGCTGTGAGCTAGGCTGACGATACGGCACTCTTTTGCCCAGGCAACAGAGTAAGATTCTGTCTCAAAAGAAAAAAAAAATTATGACTGAGACCAGTTTTTTGTAGCTGTTTTTATGGAAGAGAGAGTTAATCCCTTCGGGGGCCTTGGGCCTGGCTGCCTCGGCATTTGGGGGCAACTTGAGGCTTCCACAGGTTTCCTCATAAGAAAAAAAAGCCCTAAGGCACCTTTTTTTTTTTGGAAGAAACTAAGCCCTCGAGGTGCAAGGGATTGTCCTTGTATGAGGCAAAATCTTTCATTAAAAGCTTAGAAGGCCAGGCGAGGTGGCTCACGCCTGTAATCCTAGCACTCTGGGAGGCCGAGGTGGGCAGATTACTCAAGGTCAGGAGTTCGAAACCAGCCTGAGCAAGAGTGAGACTCTGTCTCTATTAAAAATAGAAAGAAATTAATTGGCCAACTAAAAATACATAGAGGCCGGGCATGGTGGCTCACGCCTGTAATCCTAGCACTCTGGGAGGCCGAGGCAGGCAGCTTGCTTGAGGTCAGGAGTTCGAAACCAGCCTGAGCAAGAGCGAGACCCCGTCTCTACGTATAAATGAAAGAAATTAATGGCCAACTAATACATATATAGAAAAAATTAGCTGGGCATGGTGGTGCATGCCTGAGTCCCAGCTACTCGGAGCTGAGGTAGGACGGATGCTTGAGCCCAGGAGTTTGAGGTTGCTGTGAGCTAGGCTGACACCACGGCACTCTAGCCCGGGCACAGAGTGAGACTCTGTCTCAAAAAAAAAAAAAAAAAAGGCTTAGAAGTTCCTGCTTTGTCACAACACGTAGAGTCTGCCTATGTCCCACTTAGAGATAGGTTTTTCCTTTCTTTTTTCTCTTTTGTGTCCCACCACCCTAGGAGACGCTGGGTAGAAACCCCGAGTTAGTGAGTGCGCGACATGGCTCACTGCGCCACCCGGCACTCTTCCCCCTGCCGTCTCACTGCGCTCTGCTCTCACCATCGCTGTGCCTTGCGGCCACGTGCCCAGGGGGGCGGACTCACGGCACTGATGAATGTTTAACGCGTATTGGGAAAAAATAACAGGCACATCCAGTCTCGATTTCGCTCGCTGATAGGGAGCAAGGCTAAATCCGCTGACATTTTGAAATTGTGACAGAAACAGCGGTACGGTTGGCCGGCTGTCGGTTGCACATAACCGCACGAGTTGCGCGCTCCGCAGCGCCAAGGTGTGCCGTTCAGAGAGGGCCTGGCATCGGTGAGGCTCCGTGGCGCCGAGCAGTGCACAAGCTACACAACTGCCCGTTGCAGCCCCGACTGCTGTACACAGATAGGGCGAAACGGCGCAGGAGGTGGGCAGGTCACTCAAGCCTGGGAAAGGGTGTTCCAGGGCCCACAACAGATGGGTGGATACATTGATTTTCCTTTAATTTCCTTGCACTAAGTGCCCGAGTTGCTGGCGGGTGCTGTCATCAGTTGATGTTGTGCAGTGAGCGTTCGTACCCGGGTCTGTGCCGGGCGCTTTACCAGGCTCTGCCGCGGAAGCAGCGGCCCCAAGCCCCGGGCACAGCGACTCGCGTGGCCACGGGAAGTCAGGGTGGAGGTGCCAGGCGGAGAGGAGGTGGCGGGGGGGCCTCCGTGGCGCTCCTGCTCGGGCCCAGCCCTGGCGACGTGCTCATGCCGCTGTCTCTGCCCCAGGACCCCTGCCATGATCGGCTGCTCCTTCGTGGTGGACCGGGAGTATTTCGGGGACATCGGCCTGCTGGACCCGGGCATGGAGGTGTACGGCGGAGAGAACATCGAGCTGGGCATGAGGGTGAGTGTGGCCGCCCGAGGGGGCTCTCGGTCGGGGCAGGGCCAAGAGCGGGCGCAATCTCCAAGTTTCTGGGTCATACAAAGTGTCTGCTGGGGGTGACAGGTCCGGAGCTTTGGGAAGCGGGTCTCCAGCCACAGAGAGCCCAGCCCTGTCCCCAGCCCGCCCGGGCTGTGTCCCCACCAGGTCCGAGTGCTCAAAACCAGGTCCAACGTTTTGCGCCTTTGTTCCTTATCGTGGCATTTGATGGTTGCGTTCTGTTTTCTTCGATGTTTCGCCTGTGGTGCTTCTAGCCACAGAGAAGGTTATTTAGGCCAGTTTTTAAAAATGCATATACAGTTTATTGAAGTAATTTTTTTTTTTTTTTTTTTGAGACAGAGTCTCACTCTGTTGCCCGGGCTAGAGTGAGTGCCATGGCGTCAGCCTAGCTCACACAACCTCCGACCCTGGGCTCAAGCGATCCTCCTGCCTCAGCCTCCGAGTAGCTGGGACTCCAGGCATGCCCCACCATGCCAGCTCATTTTTTCTATATTTATTAGTTGCCATTTAGTTTCTTTCTATTTTAGTAGAGCGGTCCTTCTTGCTCAGGCTGTCTCGAACTCCTAGCTCAAATGATCGCCACCCTCGGCTCCCCAGAGTGCTAGGATTACAGGCGTGAGCCACTGCGCCCGGCCTGTTTATTGAAGTTATATCTTTCAATACCTATTTCCTTAAGCCTTTAGATAATACCATCGTGGTTATAAATCCCCTAACCAGGCAGTTGCCGTCCCTCCTCTGCCTTCTTCTTGCTGACTCTCCCAGGTTGCAGATTAAACGCAGCGAACAATTAGCTCGGTTGGTGCCTTAGCTGATTAAATTCCCTTCAACCTTTCAAAGATATGACCTTATAAATGTAGTCATTTTACTTTTTTAATCACCCTTGAATGCCTGATATCGTACCAGAAACCCTCCCCCCAAGTGCTTATAAAACTCCAGCATGTCTGCTACTGGCGCTTCAAACCCAGTTTCAGGGCCTCTGAAGCACCGTCGAGGCCTGTGTGCGAATGTGTTAGGGCCACTCGCCTGTGCGCCTTAAATGGCACACTCAGTGTCGGCACAGTCGCACATGCAAGTGGTCAACCAGGTAGGTTGATCCGGAAAACCCTTCAATGCGCCGACTTTTCCGTAACTGTTTCGGTTCGACAGCAAAGCTCGCAGAGCCAGGCCTGAGCGTGCACAGAAGCATCCTCGTCGCGTTCTGGTCTATTTTGTCATTGCCACGGGAGAGGGCCGCCGACCCTCCCTGGGGGTCGCGCCCTGGGGAGCTGAGGTTGGCATCGGGCCTCGGGTCTCCAGGCAGACGCACGAGCCGTAAGACCGGGGAAGAAAGGCGGGAGGGGACCTGCGGCCGGAGCTGCCCCACTTGAGACAGAGGAAGTGGGGAGAAGGGAGCATGTGGGAGTCGGGGCCGGGGTAGGTGTTGCCTGGTGACAAAGTGTGACCAAGTGCAAGCAGATGTGGGCAGGTTCCAGGTTGATAGGTGTGAGCAGGTGGTACAGGTGAGGGCAGGTGACGTGGCAAATGTCAACGATATGGGCAGGTGTGAGCAGTGGTCAGGTGAGGGCAGCTTTGGACAGTGTGGGCAAATGGTCAACAGGTTGGCCAGTATAGACAGAAGTAGCAGGTGCAGGCAGCGTAGGCAGGGTGGCCAGAGACCAGGGTGGACCCTGGGAGACAGGGCAAGTGTGGGCCGCTGTCCCAGACCACAGGGGCCATGCGGGGTCCTCACGAGGAGGGGCCAGACTGGTGGAGGTGCAGCCACAGGCCAGGCCGAGCGCCGAACTCTGCCTGGGGTGGGCGGCTTTGTCCGGCACCTTTGGTCGTCAGTGAGTCCTTCCACTGGTTGTGTGCGAAGGCAGGCTCTTTGGATGTGAAGCTGCTGTTGGAAGTTGAAAATGAGGGTGGAAGGGAGGAAGAAGAGCGGGAAGGACGCAGGGAGGAGAGACCAGTTCCCGCCGCGATTAGTGCCGCCGTGCCCAGCCTGTGCAGCTCCCGTGACCCCGGGCGGCCGGTACGCGGCTCCCAACCTCGCCCCTACCCACCGCCAGCCGACGTTCCTCCGGACCAGACGTGCACGCCACGCCACGCCAGGGTGAGGACTTTGCTGGGCGCACAGATAACTCACCGGGAATCATCAGTGCCCAGCCGAGAGGATGCCAGGAGGGGAGGCTGAGCTTGCTCCTATTCGAAGAGCCACACTGACCCAAACTCCAGCCTCTGGGGCCAACCGGCCTGTCGCTGGGGCAACTGCAGCTGCGGGGGACGCTGGGCCTGCGCAACTCTGGCTGTGGCTGCGTGGGGCGGGGGCAGGCGGTCCCCCAGTCCCTGTCTGCTCTGATCACCCCACACCCACCCACCCGACGAGCAGCTGCAGGGAGGTCTGAAACCGTGGGAAAGGCTCCCGCGGGAACAGTGAGCAACAGCCTGGCAAGGACCGTGGCTGCGGAGCATGGGCGCTGCTGTCCCCGGCCCCACGCTTGGCAGTGCTGTGACTCAGGCGTGGCAGTACGTTTCTGCCTCCCCCTTCCCCTCCTTCTCCTCCGCCCTCCTTCCCCCTCTTCCACTCTTTTCCCTCTTTTCCTTCTCTTGTTCCCTTCCTCCCTCTCTCTCTCCTGTCCCTCCCCCTCCCATCCCCTCCCTTCCTCCTTCCCCCTCTCCCTCCTTCTTATCACTTCCTTTCTCCGCTCCCTCCCCTCTCCCTCCCTCCCTTCCCTCCCCCTTTCCCTTGCTTCCTCCTCGTCTCCTCTCCTCCCCACTCCCTCCCTCCCTCCCTCTCTCCCCCTCCTCTCCCCCCCTCCCTCTCCTCCACCCTCCCTTCCTCTCCTCCCCTCCCCTTTCCTCCTTCTCCCCTTCCTCTTCCCTTCTCCTCCCTCTCCTTTCCCCTCTCCTCCCCCCTCTTCCTCCTCCTCCCCCTCCTCCCCTGCCTCCTCCTCTCCCCTTCTCTTCCCTCCTTCCCTCCCCTCTCCTCCCACCAGACACCACTGCCTGACCTGGCAGCCTGGAGGGGTGGGGGGGGCACACGGCATTTCTGATCGATTCGGCCCAATTAGAGCGGTAATTCCGTGGTCTTGGGGCCAGTTTACATTCTTGTGATTGTACAAGTGCCAGCCGCTCACCCTCTAATGAGGAAAGTCGTGGAGCCCATCAGAGGAAAATGAACCTGCCGCGCCCGTTAGGTTTAATAGAGGTCACGGCAAAATCAAGTGCGTCCGGCTGGGACCGTCTGTCTCTGTTCTGAAACTCACACGCGTGCTACAGGTAAACCTCTTGTGTGCGCTGAAGACAAGTCCTGGGCCCTGGAGACCCTCCCCCAGTGAGGGGCCGTGTCAGCACAGCCCATCTGGGGCCCAGGTGGCTTTTCCCGTCTCCCAAGGGTGGGTCTGTCCAAGGTCCTGTTGACGTGCCATCTCGCAGAGCCGGAGGACTGTCACTGTTTTTCCCGGGAGGGAGCTGGATGGGGTTCCCACGGCCGCTGCACAGCCCGTACTCGGGGAAAAGAGTCCCGGTATCAGAGGGACACGCGGGTGTTTTCCTCCCCCATGAGCGGCGGCAGAAGGGAGAGGATGGGGCAGGGGACTGTTCTCTAGAGCTGCTTTCAGGAAGGGCTTGTTCTAGTCACAGGTGGGATGGAGCCTGCCCGGGGCTGCATGCAGAGACTGGTGGCATGGGCTGCAGTCCCCAACCCCCAGGCCGTGGACCAGCACCAGTCCGTGGCCTGTTAGGAACCTGTCCACACGGCAGGTGAGCAGCAGGTGAGCGGGCAAAACTTCACCTGCATTTACAGCCGCTCCCATCGCTCTTGTCACCTCCTGAGCCCCGCCCCTGCCAGACCAGCGGGGCATCAGACCCCACGGGAGCAGGAGCCCTGCTGTAACTGCGCGTGCGCGGGGGCTAGGTCGCGCTCCTGTGGGAACCCGATACCGGGTGATCTGGGCGGGGCTGGGCGGTGGTGCCAGCGCAGGGGAGCGGCTGCAGACACAGACCATCAGCAGGGAGGTCCGACTGCGCAGTACCCGTGACGCGCTTGCATCATCCCGAAACCTTCCCCTCCTGCAGTCCATGGAAACATTGTCTTCCCTGAAACCCGTCCCTGGTGCCAAAAAGGCCGGGGTATGTGGTGCGCTGGCTCGAGGCACCCCCACCGCCCGGCCTCCCGGGAGCGAGGCTGCGGCCACAGGTGGCCCCACGCCTGCCGGCCCAGCCCGCACCGGCGCAGAGCAGCAGGACTGCAGGCTGGGGGCAGGTGCCACTCGGGGAGGGGACGTCTCCTGTCTGCTTCGTGACGGGGCCGCTTGAATGCTGCCTCTGCCCGCTGACCGGCTGGGACACCTTCTCGCTCCAAGCCTCAGTTTCCCCATGTGTCCCCGAGGAGGCCAGCAGGACTGAACTCCTGGGCTGTTGAGGGATTACGTGCAGGGACATCTCCCCGTGCCCAGAGCACGGCAAGCCTGCGACACATGCCGGTCGTCAGCCGTGCAGACACCGCTAAGTGCCGCCTTCCGTCCCTCTGGGAGGACGGCTCTCGTGGAGAGCTCTGGGGACGCTGACGAGGGCCGAGTGACAGCCACCACGGCTCTGTCCTGTCACTGCCGGGGGCGCGTGGCGCTCGGAGCCTGTGCGTGCTCCCGGACGTCCCTGCGCGTGCACGTCTGCGTGTCCGTGGCGTGTGCCACGGGTCTCTGTTCTGCCGTGGTGGGCGTCCTACCGAGCTTCACTCCCGCACACCGGGTGGGCCCAGGGGCAGCTGCAGGCCGGCGTGTTTATCCGTGACTGTCGATGACAGCGGCAGTCACGGCATGTCGGCGCCGGCGTGGGGACGTTTGTGTTTCCCTGTGTCACCCGGCGCCGAAACGGCGTTCTCGCGTCTGAATCTGTCTCCACGTCCCGGTCGCTGCCTCAGCGTCAGTTTGGAGAAGGGAAATTTGCTGAATCAGATGAAACACGTAGTTTATGGCGTTTGATAG